AGTGCTTCACCGTCAGCCGGCGGGCCGACGCCAAGCACAAGCACATCATCGCCTTGTACACCAAGGACGAGTACTTCGCCATGCTGGCTGAGAACGAGGCCGAGCAGGAGGCCTGGTACCAGGCGATCAGCGAGCTCATGAGCCAGAGCAAGAGGGGCTTCCTGGAGCAGGAGGACCACGCCGATCAGCAGGTGGATGAGGATGACGAGCACTACGGGGCCGCCCTGAGGCCTGGCACGGTCTTCAAGGAGGTGTGGCAGGTCAACGTTAAGCCCAAAGGGTTGGGACAAACGAAAAACCTTACCGGGGTGTATAGGTTGTGCCTCTCCAGCAAGGCCATCCACCTCGTCAAGCTGAACTCGGAGGTGCCCTCCGTCCACTTGCAGCTAATGAATATTCGCCGCTGCGGACACTCTGAGAACTTCTTCTTCATCGAAGTGGGCAGATCTGCCTCTATCGGGCCTGGAGAACTCTGGATGCAAGTGGATGACTCGGTGGTTGCCCAGAATATGCACGAGACTTTTCTGGAGACCATGAAAGCTCTAAAGGCCTTTGCAGAGTTCAGGCCCCGAAGCAAGAGCCAGTCTTCTGGTGGTGGTAGTGGCACCAATCCCATCTCCTTCATCACCACCAGGAGGCACTTGGGCAACCTGCCCCCCAGCCAGACGGGCTTGCAGAGAAGATCTAGAACTGAGAGCGTTGCCGGAGGGACTCCTCCTACCACCAAAAGCAACAACTCCTATCGCTTCAGAACGTCCAGCGAAGGAGAAGGAACCATGACTAGACCTTTTAGGTCAGTGACTGGGAGTCTGATCCACCTGAATACTGCGAGGATGAATTTGGGCCGGCAAGAAGGGAGCGGAAGGTATGTGAGAGCCGCCTTCAGCTCATCTTATCACACCAGGTCTGCTTCGCTGCCCGTTTCTCATTTTCCTTCCACTACAAGTCCCATCAGCGTTTCTTCCAGTAGTGGCCATGGCTCTGCTTCGGACATGTTGACCAGGCCTTCTAGCTCATCCGTTTGTGGTTCCCCAAGCGATGGGGGATTTATCTCTTCTGATGAATATGGCTCCAGCCCTGGAGATTTCAGGTACTTTCGGGTCAGGAGTAATACACCGGATTCCCTGGGGAACACACCGCCTATCAGAGAGGAGAACTGTCTGAGTGAGTACATGTCCATGAGTAAGCAACAGGCAGATGATAGCTCAAGAGATGATTATATGGAGGCTGAAAAGTGTTTCAGGAAAAGAACTTACTCTCTAACAAAACCGACTTCTGTAGCAGTGCAGCAGAAGATGACACAAACTACAGCTTCATTAGATGAAGATTCTGCAGGAGGTCACGGACGATTACTTTACTCCGAAACACCAAAATTGAAAGATAACCATGAATCGGAGTACAGTGACACTAACCTTGATTCCGTATGTAACCAAAGTAGGAGTAAAGCCAGGGATGATGGCTACATGCCAATGATGCCAGGAGTTGCATCTTCTCTATCTGGCAACAGTGATTATTTGCCAATGACTCCTAAAAGTATGTCTGTTCCCAAACAGATTAACAATTCATGGTCACCGTCTCAGGTTGACTCCAGAGGATATATGATGATGTTTCCAAAGGCTAGCTCTTCACCTGTACGAAGTCCTTTAACTGGATTTATTTCTAAAGGAAGTAATGAGAAGATCATAAACAATGAGTATATGGATATGTCCCCTGGTAATTCAGCCCCGAAGCATCCCAGTGATTCAAATTACATTCACACCACTTCGGTTTCCAAAGGTTTTAGTTCGTATTTTTCTTTGCCCCGAAGCTTTAAGGCATTATCGGGACAAAACGGTGACCATAGTGAATATGTTCCAATGTCTTCACCTGGAAAACTCTTGTATGGTGGACCAGAAAACGTAAAAGGCGTCAACAATGAGGCTCTGGCAAATGGCATCTCTAAGTTGCCAGCAATGAAAGGTTCAGATGAAGGACTTGGGCAGAACAGGGCTACGAGGCCCACAAGACTCCCACTAGGTACAAGAGGGAGTAATACTATCCCAAGGATGTATGATCGTACAGTTCCACCTGAGCCAGCGAGTCCCGGTGAATACATAAATATTGATTTTAATGAAAAGGCGAGTAATACACCATATTCCTTATCTGCAGAAGGATCGCCATCATCTCTAGGCTCAAGTAGTGACCACAGACAGTCCCCGCTTTCTGATTATATGAGTGTTGACTTGGATGTACAGTCACCGAAAGTAGCGAAGGAACTGTCGAACTCTCTAACTGATATTTCAATTTATGGAAGTTCCGGTATTCCTAGAAACCAACCAAATCCTGACTACGCTAGGCTTTCATTTGGTACTGCTTGCGTTAGCGCCGCAAGTAACAGGACTGATGACTACACAGAGATGACATTCAACATGGCAGCAACACCACCTCGGCCGTTTGCCACCGAATCCGACAACGGTGTGAAGATTGATAGTCCTTCTTCCATAGTTAATAGACTGTGCATTGTTGATCGATACGCCGGGAGCAGTAGCTTCTCTGTTCCTAGCTCTGAACCTCCAATGGGACCGAAAGTGATTCGAGCCGATCCTCAAGGCAGGAGGAGACACAGTTCTGAAACGTTCTCTTCTGCTGGGACTGTGACGACCTCCTCCTCTTTCTTTACTGATACTAGCAAAAGACACAGCTCTGCCTCATTTGACAATGTTTGGTTAAAACCGGATGAAAACATTTCTGATGGTCAGGAAAGCAAAATGTCCAGGGATACCTCAACTGGATTTCAGAACGGCTTAAACTACATCGCTCTGAATTTACGCGATGATCCCATAAGCTGTGAGGCAAGTACTACGGCACCAGCTTGCCATCTCCAAAATGGTACTTCGGGTTTGGACAGTGGAGCTTACGTAAGCATAGATTTCAGCAGATCCGATGGTCTGAAGTGTAACGCCGCGAGAAAAGGTTTGTAACTTTAAAAGCACTTCCCATTCATGCATGCTTAACTGTAGGAATTAGGTTTTCTACTTAACACTAAAATGCAGTCTGCAGAGGGGGGTAAATGTTTTTTATAATCTTGTGTAGTCTAGTACAACCAGTCTCATCGTAGCGCAGCATCCGCACCGCTGAACAGCGATGAAAGGGGATGTGGTCCTTGGCCTAAAGCATTTCTGTGACTCTTCTAGGCAGTTAGAAGTGTTATCAAACTGTCATCTGCCTCGGTTGTTTACAAAAGAATTTTGCTAGTATAAACGTTGATCGCATTTCATATTGTGAATTCTTGTCCTCATGTTATGGGTAGTTCTTTTTTTTCTTCACTTGTGTTTTGCTCTTCTTCCCTTCTTATAACTAGATGACTCTTCACTTTTTTTTGTGAACTTGGTATTTTGTGATTTGTGTCACGGATGGGGAAAGCTGAAAATCACTGAATTGGGTTTAGACATCAAAATTTGGGGCTTAGATCTGTTCCTTTCAACAAATGTAGGTGAAATGCATGTTTTAGGGTGTTTTATGTGCAAATCTGCCCACATTTATTTAGTTGAACCTTACGTAAACAGAACTCGGTTCTTTCCCTTGACGATTTGGTGTGCTCGTTTTGAGCTCTGGTCTCCCAAGTATCCTTGTATCCTCCGGAGGAGCCATCTCCGGGTGGCTGAGCAGGGTTGGGGGGGTTGGGGGGGGCTCCGGCAGCCCATGCCCTCCACCTTCACCACTTAGATAGCATCCAAGGGCTTAGCCGAGCCCTGACCCTTCCCGGGCCGTACAGAGGGATCTGCCTTCTGCCTCGCAGGTGAGGGATGCCTGCGAGAGAGGAAGAGCAGGCTCCGAGGGCTCTCTTCCAGGTCCAGAACTTCGGAGAGGAGGCCACTAGCTTTCAAGCGATCGGTGGTCTGACCCAACTTAAGGTAACGCAGTTTGAGGTGTGCATAAAAAATAAGGGTGTTGGGGGGGTGGGAGGAAGAGTATGGGAAAGAGGAAGGGCACTGCTGTTCCTGTGACAAGCTCTCATGGCGGGAGCAAAAGATAATCAGCTGTTAGTGGTGTTATGCGTGTCCACTGACTGAGCAGCAGTGTTTGTGCAAGCGCTGCATTGCAGCGTAACTTTGGAAATATAATCCTTATTTTGGTGGTAGTGACACACTGAACTCCTTACAGGAATTCACCCACACGGATAGAAAACTGTATGTGTTGGAAATGATGTTTTCCTCTCTCTGCAAATGTATGTGTAGTCAATAATTGATGAGTACTAAGAGGAAATATTTAATCGCTGTTGGACATTGATACTTGTCTACTTCTCTGTAAACAGAGGAAGCAGTAAAGAGGCAGGCTACTGCTGGCTTTTGTATTTTTAACTAGAATCTTAGACACTGAAACAGTAGGGTTTTTTCCCTAGTTTTACTTTAAAACAGAGTCTCTAAAGGCAGAAGATATTGCAGGAGCTTAAAATTGTGTAGCCTTTAATAGTGGAAGGTATAAGCCTGACTCAGCTCGCATGCCGTTCGAAGTCTGGCGGCACTGCTTGGGGCTGCTCAGAAATGTGTGGTTTGCCTCAGTGGTTTTTTTTCCTCTGCTTTGTTTTGTTGGTTGGAATCAAATTTAGAAGACGTTGAAAGTTGCCAGTCCAAGAAGTGCTTTCTTCCAAAGTTAGTCTTTCAGCACTTCAGAGATTTGTCTGCTAAGTCAAAGGCACACTGATTGCCATAGCTGATTTGTGGTGTTTGTGTTGTTTTTTTTTTTAAAAGCACTCCCAAAGACGGCAGAATTCCTGCTTAATCTTATTTCCCTCATATGACTAAAATCTGTGTTAGGAAGTAAAACTTCTTACAAAATGGAGAGAGGAGAAAACGAACAGAGATGATTTCCTTTTACATTTAAAAATATTTTTCAAGAGATAATGTGTTTAGAAATTGTATTTATGTTCAACATTCTGCTTGCTACTGCTCCAGCAAAATATCTACAGCCCTGTGCTTGGGGCTTTTCCCTTGTCTATGACAAGTTGCAGAGGGGCAAGAGACTGACAGCCGCTGCTTTTCGCTGTGCATTGAAGTTTTCTGGAAATGAAACATGCATTAAAGTGAAGTGAAAGAAACTCTGCGCCTAAAAACACGGGCTTTGGCAGGAAATTAAGCCTGAGAATAGGAAGAGCTTAGGTTGGTGGTTTCTTTCTAGTCCTAAAAAGAAAAACAAAGTTATCAAACACTGCTCCAAAACAAGGCCTAACAGTTTTCTGTGAAGACAGCGTAATGTATTTCTGGTATATAGGAGGAGGGCAGGTGGGGTGTGGATGTTGTTGGAGGGGTGAACAGATTTCGGAATAGTCGTGTCTAGAAGTAGCTTGCCAGACTTGGGTACAGGGGTGTAAGTTGGTGGTGGATATCTATTTCTTAGTAATGACTTCAAGTTCTGGATTATAAAGATACTGGTTTTCATTCACATACTAAATAGTGTCTCTGAGCTATAGCAAGCATAACTTTGGAAGTCTATATTCTTTAAACAGCTTACCAGTTTCTACTGCAATGAAGCTTTTATTTTAAAATTTTAAAAGTTTTTCTGTAATGCAGAAAAACGTTTTCACATTCCATTTTGAATTGTGAAAATGAAGCTTCGCTCTTTAAACCTCTTGTGTCCCGAAGAGGTGTAGTGTGCCTGCGTGTAATTGATATTTTTAATACTTTGGGAGACTCGTAGCAGAACTGAGTGCTGTCCTTTCTTTCCTTCTACATCCCACTGTTTTGGTCTCTTTGCCTGAAAGATGCTGCGGTTAAATCCATTCTTAAGGAAAACATTTAGCAGATGCAGACCCTTTACTTCCTAGAAGGGCGCTATCCCGCATGTATTAAACTCTATCAGGTGGAGAACTTTATCTCTTCTCCCTAAAGTGCAGTTTTACTGGAAGGAAAACGCTTCCCAGCTTCGGATTGTTTGCTTTTCGGTTTTGTTTTTGTTTGCTTAAATGGAATATTGTGTTCTGTGACTCAGCTGCATTCTCCTAACTGCTGAGGGTGGTAAAAGTGATTTCCAATGCATCACTGCCCCCTCATTGTAATTCCCAAACCTACTTCTGGTTCAGGTTCACTGATGTGAATCAAACTTATTTTTTTTCCCCTTCTCCATTCATGGCATGGATGGAGGAGGGGAAGGACACTAACTTGAAATGGTAAATAGGCTTGACTTGTTATTAAACTTTTATTTTAGGTTTAGGCAAAATGGAGCTCCAGTTTTATGTTGATAATGATAAAAAGAATATAAGGTTCTGATTTTTAATGCTTACAGTTGAAGGAGGTCATTAGCAAAACAGTTTCATTACGAAATTGTTACACAATATTGAAGCAAGCGGTTTGCAGTTTTGATTACATGAATCTGAGTCATGAAATTTTGTGCTAGGAGTACAGAACACTAAAGCTACTTCAAACAGGGCTTAGCTAATGTATACCTTGTTATTGGACCTTGTAGAAACTGAGGAGGATAATGAGAATGGGGCGGTAATAAACTGCTTAATGGGTCCTGTATAATACAAGTTTTTTCAGTCTTAATTAGAAATATTTAAACCTGCAAAGATACCCTGGACTCCAAAACCAAAACAGACTGTTCAGAGTAAATGTAATGTTCAGCTTAGTATCAACCCACCTATTTTACACCCACTCTTTAATCTTATCTCTACATGATATTCTAACACTATGCTAAGATATTTCAGAAGTTCTCTAAAGTGCAGGATTATAATTTAAATATTCCTCACCTTGTTAATCTCCTCCTGTGCTAAACTGGGCGAGGGTGTTGTGTACTCTTTGGGGAGCTGAGAGGAAGGAAAACAAGTACAGCTGTAAAGCAAAACTTGGGTTCTAAATCGTCCAGCTCCTTTGTGGTAACTTGCATATTTCAAATGCAAAAGCTTGAAGAATATAACGAACAATATACACTTTGAGAAATTCAGAAGCTGGAAGTTTTAGCTATTACTAATATAGTAAATTATAGTTTACAGGATACCAGGCAAATAACTGCCCCTTTTGGGTTTCAGACTAGTGGTTTTTAAAAGTTTGCTTCAAACTGAGGCTCTTTTGTATTGGCAGAATATTTAAGGCCTGGGCCCGTTTAAAAATAACTCGAAGAACCCAACTGAAGCACAACTGAACGCTGCTATGGATCCTGCATCTTTGAAGTAGCGCCGGGATAATAATTCTTAAAAAAACCAACAACAACAAAAAAAACCCCAACCATTTTAATCTTGCTGTGACAGATGCACTTTAACAGTCTTGAGTGACTTACAGCTATGCTTAAAAATACCCAGGGTAACTTTCTCAAGTAGTATATGAGCTGCTGAAGGCAGAACAGATTTTTGCCGTGCAGCGTGGGAGTGAGCTAATTATGACATATTTGACCAAGAATCAGTTGGTTTTACTTGTGCTTGGGTGAGAAAATCTGAGACAAGAATGTTCCCCTGCAACTGAGGGAGAACGCTTACTTGCAGTCAGTGTTGAAATACTTTTGGAAATCAGCTATCCAGACTTTAAATCCGTACGTGCGGCTGATGATGACATTTGTCTTTTTGGGAAGTGTAAAACTTTCTGCTTGTAGCTGTCCTGTAGGTTAAAGCACTGCTGCAGGACGCGGGGAGCTCTGGGAGTAATCCCGTACGGATTCAAACTGGTTTGGTTTTCGTGGTGGTGTGGGTTTTTTTTTTGTTTGTGTGGGTTTTTTTGGGGGGGGGAGTGTTTGGTATTTTGCTGTTTTGTTTTGTTTAAGTCTTTTGGTGAAATCTTTAAATGCGTTATTACCCTTTTAGTTTTCCCTCTCAAACTTTGCGTTTTCCCCTCCGCCCTTGCTGTGTGAGGGCCCCTTGTTCCCCGTGGGGTGGAGGCTGCAGGAGCAGAAGGTGTGCAGTGCTCATGCCGTCCTTCCAGCGACCGGCCGTGTTCCAGCCCAGGATTACCAGGATGGTTTGTCCCTAGGGATTTCTTTGGTGTTTTTTTTTTGT